GTGCTTTGCGACAATATGAGTCGGCAGGTTTCGGACAGAAAGCCGATCTGTTTGAGAACAGGCGAAAACGTATGCGCGCGCGGATGTCATCCATAAAATTAAGTCGGTGTGGCCTTGTGAACTTATTCAAGAGCTTACATTGCGTCAGTGTACAATCTACACGGTAACTAATTCAGCCATGCTTGTCATGGGATAGCGGATTCTCGTAAGATAATTGGTTCGTTTCCATTGTATCAAACCACGGAGAGAGCTTATGCATCCAAATCATTGTGTATTTGGCTTTTGATATACAAATCTAACAATTTATGCATGAAAGATGATCGTTTGATTAGTAACTGTCGGTGGAAACAAGACGTAAATACACAGGTTGTTACGTCTTGTCAACATTGCATGTACACACACTAATATTCGGTGTTAAATCACCTGTTATTTCATATCATTATTTTTTACTTTTTTTAGATGATGGTGCTTTTCATGACCATTATTGGATTTGTTGGGATAGTTATTTTGGTAATGATACATGTAAGTCCATTTTATTTATTCCTATTTGTCTCTAATACAACTACTATTAGGTCAAAGTTCACACAGCAAAGTGTACGTTATTATTCCCTGCAATCAATTATAGGCGTGTTCTCATCGCATTCTTATTGGTCGATCGGTTTTGCATGCAGCTCTGTTATAAGAAGATAACTGGTCAGTGACTGTGTTCAACCCACGAACACGTTCTTCCACGTTAATAAATCCTGGTTATTTGCATCAACAAATAACTATCAGCGTGTTTTCGCATGTCGTTTACTTGCGAACGTTCTACACAGCGTAACAGAAAATACAAGTGCCCATGACGTATTTACCAAATTGTCGATTTTTAACGCTGTTGTCGTCTAAGATGGAGCGGAGCTGTTCATATATGCGATTGTCCGTCGCCATCAAAACATTTACAGTTTTGGCCTCTTCTTGAAAACCGTCTAGCAGATTTTTTTTTGCTACGATATCATTAATTCTTTATTTTTAGAGCATATTGTTGGACCAATTTTAGTTTAGTTGCTATTTGATTTATAGCCAGAACCGAACTACTTTTTTGTGACTTACTTATCTTGGCTTACACAATGTTATTGTACGACAGCACAGCTATTTCGACCGTCAGGTCGGTTGTTTCTATCCCTCTGTGTATTATAATAATTTCGGCGTGATATACTAGAAATACACGACCCGGCACTGCTGATTATCATAAGAAAATATTCGCTCGACTGCAAACTATCGAGATATAGCATGCGTTGTACTGAAATATACGACTACGTGAAGATCAGAATAATTGATGAACACTAAAGCCCGCGTATGCTATTTATAATTCTGTTTTAAATACTTTTAAAAAATAGGGCGAAAAGGCATTTTTTTGCGATTAAATCACTCCGTCGGAGCTCTGTTGCTAGCAAAGTTAGTGAAAAAAAAAGATGGGCCGCACTTTTTGGTGATGTTAAATCATTATTTTTGTACTAAGCCCGCCATACACTGCCCGGACTGAGCACGCTCAACAAAATATCCCGTACACTGACGCTGTAATCATCAATGAAAAACACCTTCGCATAGTTGCAACTTTGTTGGCGCCATTCAATCGTTAAGTTTGTGTTGAATTCTCACTTGATCCAATAATGGAAACTCGTCGGTAATTTGTCTGAATTACTATTATGATAGCATAAAACATAAGAAGAAGTACATTTTTGATCAGTATGTCTCAAATGTAAAAATTGTAAAACGTTTTCACCATCGATAATGCTGATAGAAAATGTTCCTAATCTCCTGCATACATGCCACAAATTAATGTTTAATGTTTTATTAGAGATTATTACTTAAAATAACACATGATTGTATACCTTATAATAAGGTATCGGCAAATGAAAATTGGCAAATGCAAACATTTCCGCATGTCGTATAATGTCGTACAATTACCGACAATTTGAGATTTTTGATAGACTAGACAAAAATACAAGTTCAGGCAACAAGCTTAAAGTTGTTTTTACAAACTGTGCATACTTCGTCGCTGATATTTGGTGACTATAATGCTACGTTGTATAACTGTAAATTGGTGTTGTACGTATAAGGTGTTATATAATTAATATTATTATACATCTGTCGTCGTAACACCATAAATTACTGTGTGGCGTAATTTTGTGGTATTTTACAGAGTATTTTCATCCTACCATATAGGAAATAAGAATTCCAAATATGAAATGATTGCACGCGTAAGCCTTCTTTAATATAATAAAAACAAACATGGCTGCCACCACGGTTTAACCGGACTCCCACAAAGAAGTTCACTGATTCTGTTCTAAACTTTTTAGATTTCGGCATTCCCATGATGTATCCTTGGAAGGAAAAGATGTATAATATTAATAATAATAATTAGGTTATTACGAGGATACCTGAAAATATGCACCTAGGCTGTGCTGCGCGTTGTTTGACACTTCCGCTGCACTGTCTTCGTGCATACTTTGAGGTATCCTCGTAATATCCACATAATATACAAATTAATATGAATGTATTTTTTTTCTGTAATTCCCATTTGCAACATATTTCTGGATTTAACGTGTCGCCCATGCACCTGAAAGTATTTTCAGCAAACACAAAATCCCCACTATGGCGTTTCCCAGTTTCCAAATTCTGCAAATTGCGCCCCCAAAATTAAATTTCAGTGGATAAGTGTTTTTTTTTAGAAGATTGCCATTCAAGCGTTTGATAAAGCTAGTCAATAATGCAAGTTTACATACTTTTTATATACTTCTAGCAGTAATTATACAAAACTATGTATAGTCCATTTGTAATGTTACTATGTAGCTGATGTTGTAATGTAAAACTTTTATATAATAATGTATATTTAATGTACTAATGATTTTTTATAAAAAATAATATATAACAGAAATGAACCTATTGTCTGTAATTCTCATTTGCAGCACATGTCGACCATGAATCTGAAAGCACTTTCAGCAAAAACAAATTTCCAAATATGGCGTTTCCCCGTAAACGATGCGAGCAACAGAATGGCTTTGAAACGTCATGCATGGAATATTACCTTGGGTGAGCTAGGAAGTATGGGAATGACTAGCGCTAAAAACTCTTTATTTCGCATCAGAGGAAATATCTCAAATTACCACTTTGCTGATCACATACACATCATGAAAGATGCCAAAGATTATAACGGAAGGCAACGCGTTCTTGGTGGTGATATATGGAAACCAATGATGTTCAATCCAAATCTCAAATCCAGTGTAATGGGCAATGTAGTTGACTATGACAACGGTACATACAGTATATACTTCTTCGCTGCATGGAGTGGGGAAGCGTTCATTGATATTCAGCTTGTTCATACTCGCGATGCCGCACTGTACATTGAGGACGTCTTCAGAAAAACGGAAAAAATGACGTGGCAAGGTGTCTACAGCAGAGGTGGCTTAGAAGAGACGAGTGTGTGTCACCTGCGTCGTGAGGGGACGTGGGCAAATCAATGTGAACACATGAGAAATCTACATTTTGGTAGAACGCTCATTTTGTGTGAAAAACCAGTGAATCTGACATGTGGGGACTTAAAATTTTTTCATACAGCAAGTGTATCATTGGACAATAAGCAACATCTGGAAGACATGTTTAACAGGTATTTACATATGCTAGCAATATAACATACCGTCTAATGAGATATTATTAATTGTGGTGTGTTGCTGTCAATTTATCTGTATATAAACTGACAATTTTTAGTTCATATAACTTTAATTGCTCCTAAAATCATTTGGTTTTTAGAATTCAATCTATTGAAAATCTTAATAGCTTGTTATGAAATCCTCCATTAAGATGGCTAAATCAGATTTATCCGACTATTCATCATTTTTTCTAGGGCCATATCAGTGGTGTGTTTGACAAAATATTATTCTAATTGTGGCATAAATTCATACTTGGCAGGTGTAATAAACTTAACTATGATGCCACTGCCACACGATTAATCACAGATAAGTTCTTGCCTATTGACTTGTGAAGAGCTCGGGCTTCTAACAGACAACAACTATTTGATTAGGACTCAGGATGTTCAGGATGAAATATTTCAGGTTACAAATGCAGAGCAGGATGCGCTTACCCATGTTTTTGTGATTTTGTGTTTTTGTGTTCTTGAACTGTAAATCCTGTCAATAATGTTGTTTTTATAATCATGATCATATTAATCCACTCGGATATTTACTTAGAAACCGAGGCAAACGACTTTACTTGATTTGATTTGAACTTGAGATGAGAAGTCTTTAGAGCAGTTCCTCTTTCAAGAATATTGACCTCCTTCACTTACATTTCATTATAAACTCCACGCGAAAATATAAGTGCAAGACAAAATGGATAATTGGGCTTCATTGTAACCTTAATTTTGCTTTGTACAACTTTCAGCTGATTTCTAATTTCAACTATTAATCAACAGGTCCTATCAGAAGATTAACGGCAACCCAAGTAATTTGATCATACATAGTGAGTAGATTACTATACATCTCTTTAGTTTGTCACTTTAGTTTGCGCCGTTAAAATTACATTTTGATGGGGCTCTTCTATTAGGTTGACACGCCATTCCCGACAGTCATGTAAACAAGTGTGGTGTTTAAATTATTCTATAAAACATGGTGAACTGAAAAAACTGTGAAATACATATATATTTTTCTACTTACATCATGTGGTGGTTTTATACAAGTATTGAATTGTACTTATCCACAGTTTACATCTTTTAAACATAGATGGGTTACCCAATTAATCACTAATCTGCGTGGTAATTTTGTAGTTTATTAATCGTATTGTTCAGAAACCGTGGGGATTTAACGATATACATGTGAACAAAAACTGTAGTGCTACTTGTACGCTATCATTTATATGTAATGTCGAGGGAAGTAACACAATCATAACTGTTATCATAACTGGTATCATGTTTTTTTCGTGCATGTGAGTTTTTCTTTTGTTTTTTAATCATGCACATACTCACAATGGTGTGCTCTTTATCAACAGACTCATCGTTCGAACTACAATCTTTATTAAATAAAATTCCAATATGCAGTGACGGACTATATATGGATGAATTCAAGCCTACTGGTTTCTGGAACAACAACACTTGGCATTCGTTGGTTTGTCAAACTACTCGTTTTAACAGAAAGTCTAGTAGAATGTGTTTGAATGAATATAGTGAGTTATATTTTCTTGGTGACTCAACATCAAGGCAGTGGTTTATAGAGGTATATCAATTACTTGGTATTCCAAGCGATAATGTCACGTGGGATGAACATTATAAAAATACTCCGAAAAAAATCCAAAAATTCCTTTACAAGAAGACGCGGGGAAAAGCTGTCATCGACGGTATGACTCTGTTCTTTTTATTCCACCCGTTGGCCTCAACTAAACAAAAGTTATCACTAGAACATTTTCCATTAGAATACGAGATTTTGGAAAATATTAAAACATGTAACACTATAATAGTACTTGGCACATGGGCTCATTACACACATTGGACTGTGACTGCATTTGATGAAAGACTGCGATATATTAAACAACACTTGTATGAATATAAAAAGAGATGTCCAGGTTCAAAGATTATTATTCGTGGTTCGCATGCGCGGGAACATGATGAATGGGAAAAGAACCTTGGCAATAGCGATTTTTTGTTGAGTGGCGTCAATGATATATTGAAAAATGTCTTTAAATCCGAGTTGTGGTTGACATTTATTGATGTTTGGGAACTTAACTATTCCTCCTTTGCGAATAAGACTGTGCATATGCCTGAACACGTGGTAAAAGAAGAGATAAATCTTCTACTCTCAAATGTATGCCCCGAGAAGTATTATTAACATTGATTGAGTGTAATATTTTTTTATGTCAATCGCTTTGAGATTGACAACAGTGAAGTTAAAGTAGATAGCAGGATGACAAGTTTAATATGAACAATAAATATTCTGTAATTTCATATTGATCATTCTTCATAGCCTAAGACCTGTCACAGACTGCGGCTTTGTTAAGCAATTATCATTGACAACGCATATATTATGTGGCTCATTTAAGCCAAATCATATAACTCACAATATACTTCATGTCTGTAAATGTGAATTAACAAAAATGCATGACGGTTTTAGAACACTACTTGATAATTCTGGTCATACGCAAACGGTTTCTTTTCAAAATTAAACAGAATACAAACGTGACTTTGATGCAATTTCTTTTAAAATGTACAAAATGCAACACTAGCTTTCAAATAGCTTTCATACAAGTTTTAGTTCATTGTAATTGGAAATGCTAGCCTCAACCGACTTTATTCAAACTTGATAGATTCTTCACACCTACATGTGGGAAAAGTTATCAACAAATCCATTCTTACCATTAACATGGCAACGGACAACAAAATAATTGTTAGAATTCATAAACGGATTGCAAATCAGGCTACCAATTGTTCGTATTTTCATTTGATATGTAGGTTTGGCTTAGGGTACAAAAGAC